TCCATCCCTTAGAAACCACAACTCTGCTTTCTGTCTATGCATTTTCTTATACTAGATATGTCACAGAAATGGAATCCTACAGTGTACAGCTTTCTGTGTGTGGCTTCTTTCTCCCACTCTATTATTATCCAAGTTTAGTTATATTGTAGCATGTATCAGTACTTCATTCTTTTTATAACCCATTTACGTGACTGTACCACCGTTTGTTTTTCATTCTTCAGCTGATGGAATTTAAGGTTGTTTCTGCCTTTTGGCTGTTTAAAGTAGTACTGTCATGAATACTCATGGACAACTTTTTGTTTGGATCTTTAATATTCACTTCCTCTGGGTGTACATATACCTAGAAGTGGAATTTGCCAGATCATATGGTAATTATCATGAAAACTTTTTAGGAACTACCAGATCCTTTCTCACAACAGTTGCACCATTTACCTCCCTAGTAGCAATGTGTGATGTTCCAATTTCTCCACATTCTCACCAACACAATTCTTCTGAAAAAAAGAAATTTATGTATTCCATAAGAGACACAGAGACAGAAAGAGACAGACACAGTACCACCAACAATGGCTTAGCACTGAGATCTCTCATCATTCAGCCATCTGTGAATCATGGGCAAGTGCATGCCTGGCTTACTTAAGAAGATACCCAAACTTAAACTGGGAACCTTACTTTGTGGGATTGCCTGAGTGTCATGTTTTACTGCTAAGTCATCATCTGGCCCTACCAAAAGTTCTTATTTGTTATTCTGAGTTAAGCCATCCTAGTGGTTCTTAGATGGTATTTCATTGTTTTTTTCATTTGCATTTCCCTAATGATTAATGACGTTGAACAGTTTTTCATTTGCTTATTGGTCATTTGTATATTATCTTTGGAGAAATGTCTGTTAGGTCCTTAGCCCATTTTGTTGAGTTGTAAGAGTTCTTACAATTACCTATTCTATTCTACAGTAGTTCAACCCTTAGTTGATTTTCTTCAGTGTTTTCCTGTTCTTCTTGTGATCTCTGCTTTACTCTTTATTTCTTTCCTTTGCTAGCTTTGGATTTACTCTAATTTTCTATTTTATTAAAGTGATAGATTGATTTGTTGGTTTGAGGTTTTTTTTTTTTTTTTTAATGTGAGTGTTCACAGCTATGAATTTTCCTCTGAACATTGATTTTCCTGAATCTCTCAAGTTTTGGTATATTGATGGTTTGAGTATTTTAATTTATCTGTAAGTATTTGCTATTCTTTTTGTGTGTTTGTTTATGTTTTACATTTATTAATTTCTATTAATTTATTAGGCCCACTCTTATTTAAGAGTGTTAATTGAAGTTAATAGGTCATATGGTGGTTAAGGCACTGGACTCCCACGTGGCCGAATATGGTTTGTGTCCTGGACCCAGCAGCTTTAAAATCACTCTTGGGGCATGCATACGCTGAATCCTGAGATGAGAATCCAGGAGAAGGGAGTGTGAGATGGCCATCACCCCCGGGGGATGATTTGTCACTTTTCCTCTCTCTATCTCTTTCTGGTAAGCACACATTTCTTATGTCAAAAAAAAAAAAAAAAAAAAAAAAAAAAAAAAAAAAAAAAGAGGGTCACTTAATTTCACTTCCACGTATCTGTGAATTTTCTAATTTTTAACTTCATTTAGTGCTTTTTAGTTTCTTTCTGTTATGGTTGGAGAAGACACTATATGACATCAGGCTTTTAAAATAGTCTTTGTAATTTAATATATGATTATGTTAAATTATGGAGAATGTTCCATGTGCACTTGAGAAGAATATATTGGGTCATCAGAAAAGTCTTAACGCATTTTTGTATAGAAAAATATGTCATGACTTTTCCGACGAACCAATGTATTCTGCTGTTATTAAGTGGAGTATCTTTTGTTTTCTCTTGAAGCAATTTTTGACTTCAAGTATCTTTTGTTTGGTAAAAGTATAATTACTCTAGCTCTTTTGATTTTTATTTGCATGGAAAATCTTTTTTCCATCATTTACTTTTTTAAAAGAATTATTTAGTTTTATGTATTATTATCTTTTAAAATTTGCTGCTGGACAGATTTATTTTATTTACATGCTCTTACCAGAGAGAGAAAAATGAGAAAGCAAGTCACCAGATATGGGACTTAAACCACAGTCACATGGGAGTCCAGTGCCTTAACCACTGACCACCTGCTGGCCACCCCATCCTTTTATTGTCAACCTATTTGCATCTTTAAATCTAAAGTGAGTCTTCTGCAACAAGTGTTATAGATGGATTTTTTTCTTTTTTTTAAAAATGCATTTGGCTTATTACTGCCTTGTAATTTGAGTGTTCAATTCGTTTAAATTTAGTGTAACTACTGGACAAACTTCTGCAATTTTGTTATATATCATCTTTGTGTCATTATTTTTTCCCTTAATTCCTCAATAATTTCCTTTTTTCATGTTTGTTCTTTTTTTCCTGTAATGTATAGTATTGATTCCCTTCTCATTTTCTTCTCTGTATATTTTAAAAGTTATATTCTTAATGGTGGTTGTAGGGAGTGTACAGTGAATATTTTAAAGTTACAGCAAGCTTGTTTGAATTACTACAAATTTAGCTTCAAAATTACATGAAAATATGCTTCAATACATTTGTGCAGTCACTTTTTTGTTATTGTCAATAATTGCAGTATTACACATTTTGTGGTCATTATCATATATTCATAATCAGTACTTTATTTCTTTGTCTTTTTAATTATGTAGGAAAAAAAGAATAATAAGCCAGAAAAAAATCACATTTGCTCTTATATTCACCTGTGTAGTTATCTTTAGCAATCTTTTTCATTTCTTTGTGTGGTTTTGACGTATTATTTACTGCCATTCCATTTTACCTTAAAGGATTCCCTTTAGTTATTATTGTATAACAGATTGACTAGTGATGATCTTTTTTAGCTTTTATGTATCAGGGAATCTCTGATTTTTTTCTTTCAGATTTGAAGTATAGTTTTACTGAATATAGCTGTGGTTGACTTCTTTTTTTGTTTCGGCACTTTAAATATGTCATTTCTTTGCCTCTATCCCTTTGCGATTGTTTTTTGAAAAATTATCTGTTAACTTTAATGAGGAGTCTTTGTATACAGTTGGTCATTTCTCTCTCTTTGTTTTCAATAGTCTCTCTTTTATCTTTTGTTTTTGGCATTTGGATTATACTGTGTCTTGAAGTGGATCTCTGTGTTTATCTTACTTAGAGTTTATTTATTTTCATGGATGTGTAGATTTATATCTTTTTTAAATTTGAAATTTTCAATCATTATGTCTTTAAATACCTTTTTTTCCCCTTACTCTTCTTTCATTTTTGGTCTTGTCCTTTGCCTATGTTAGTATGCTTGATAGTGTCCCACAATTGTCTTAGACCCTGTTCCTCATTTTTGTCATCTCTCGGTTTGTGGATTTCTTTATTCTGCCTACTCATATCTGTTGTTGAACCCTTCTATTGAATTTCGGATATCAGTTATTGTACTTTCAGCTCCATTATTCCTATTTAGTTGTTTTTTATAATTTCCTTCTTTATTAATAATTCTCTATTTCTTGAGACATTGCTGTCCTAGTTTCCTTTAACTTTTTGGCTATGGCTCCTTTAGCCCATATTTATATTTAAGACAGTGGTTTAAATCTTTTTATAGTAAATTCAGTGTTCTGGTTCCTTAGGGACAGTTTCCTTTAATTTATATATTTTTCTTACAGTGGGCCACCTTTTTTTTTTTTTTTTTTTTTTTTTAATCGCCAGAGAGCATTTATTTACATTTGTCAGAGAAAGAGAAAGGGGAAGGGAGAGGAAGAAAGCATCTTGTAATGGGATATGGTCATGCCACAATCCTTCTCCTCCTATTCTCCATCCTGTCGGAATTTGAGGCATGCACACACACATGCCTGAAATGTATTTCAAGCCACCAAGGCTGGGGTATAAACCACTGTGTTAGCCATGTGGGATCTGGCTCCCTTGACCACGAGGCCATGGTGTTGGCCCATGACTGCCATCTGTAAGGCTGCTCCCAGGCTAAGAAAGAGACTGAACAATGGTAAGCTAAAATGCCAGAAAGCGTTTCTACTGCATTTCAGACTTTTCCTGACAGAAAGTTCTCTTGTTAGAAATTTTTGTCTGTTTTGTTGAGTTCCACTAAAGTTGAGTCTGACAGTGTTTGCAAATTTCTTCAGTAATTCTGGGGAGCAATGAACTCCTAAAAATCAGCTCTCTATAATTTTTGCCATTTTCCACCCTAAGATAGGGATTTTTTAAAACCTAGGTTTTCTGTATTTTTTAGTAGATTTTTGATAGTCCTTAGGAGGTTAACAAACTTCTTAAATTACATGCCAAACGTCTGGTGTATATGCTTTTTTTCTGAGGTGAGGATCCATTATGGTCTAAGCAGTGTCCACAAGTCCCTAAAAATTTCAAAGATCACTACTTTAGGACATGTTCTATTTCAATATAAATAACTAATACATAACTTACTGCATTGTGAAAAAACCTGTACATAAAAACACCTTAGAAGGCTGAGGCTAGTTCTTGTTTCAGACACTCGGTTTCTTAGCAGTTGCCACAGTTCTTTGCAAACAGATAAAAAAACATTAAGACACACAGTCTATTAAGAAGTAAACACAAAATTTCTCTTGTCAATAGGTGGTCTTCATTTAATTTGATCCTCTATTCCATGCTTCTTGAATTCCTATATTACTTTCATAGTTAAAACAAAAGTAATCTTCTAAAAGTATGTAGAAAATAATTTCCATGGCACCTTTATATTAAAAATGTTTGTATTTCTTTTAAGAATCCATTCAGACTGTAGATTCAAACTTCGGAAAATAGAACTATCAAACACTTATTTTGTTTCTGAAAATACAATGAATTTTAAAGACTCCTGTTTCCTGTTTCACCCCTTTTAATATCTTATGAAATATATCGAAGATGATTTTTATGTTATGATAGGAAAAGCAAAAGAAAAATTAATGTAAAGTGACAATTCCATTTTTCTTTTTTTTTTTTTTGGCATGTTATTAACAAATTCAAACAGACTCACAACAACAAGAAATGCTGTATGGGCCCTCTCAAATTTATGTAGAGGCAAAAATCCTCCTCCAAACTTTAGTAAGGTATGCATAAAATACACAAATTAAGGACTTTATCTCCATAAACTTATGTCTTTAATAGTTTTTTCTTTTTTTGAGGATAATAGGAACTTTTTTGTTGATGATCTTTTTTTATTGACTAAACAATATTTGCACAATACAAAATTCAAAGGACTTAGAGTAAAAGTGTTCTTTGCATCTGCTCTTTTTTAAAAATTATTTGCTTAATTTTATTTATTGCTATTATTTCTCAATTTGACTAGAGAGAGAGAAAAAAAAAAAAACAAAAACAAGCCAGCAGGACCAGGACATGAATTGTGGTCAGCCATGTGGCAGTCCAGCACCTTAACCACCATGCCATCTGTCAGCACCAAACGGGAATCTTTTTCAGTGACATTGCCTATGCTCATTTCTGTTGGTCTATACCACAGAACCTACCTCAGCTGATACAGATAGGGCTACACCTGTCAGAGGATTTCATGTCTTATTAGGCAACTTCTACGAACAGACTGATCCTGGTGCCATTTGTCCAGGAGAAGGGTCTGAAAGGATTATCTCTAGGCTAGGATCATCTTTTCTAATAGCCAGGAGCCAAAATCACTATGAGGGGACTTCAGAAAATTTGTAGAAGAATGGAATTAAAGTGTGATTTTTATTTATTTATTTATTTATTTATTTATTTATTTATTCTTACAGTTTTCCACATTTACTTTTTTTTTTTTGAGAGGTTTTCACTATAGGGCACGTGTGCTCGCCAGACAGAGACAGACAGAGAGACAGAAAGCGAGAAATCACCCACCAGGGGGAATGGTCACGCCACAATCCCTTCTCCTCCACTCTCCTCTTGGGATCTCGGGCACGCACGCACACGTGCCTGGCGTGAGTTTTAAGCCACCAGGTCCGGGACGCGAACCGCAGTCGTAGGACTACCTGGAAGTCCAGCGACATAGCCATTACGCTAACTGCTGGTTCCCTCCACATTTACTTTACGTATCAAAAAATTTTTACTCATACTCTATAGTTCTTGACAATTAATAAAACAACTTTCAAAATGTCAAAATACTAAATTTTAAAGATATTTAAAATATTTCTTATAATTTTGTTTGTGACTGTATAGCAACAGAAACAGTATGGTTTTAAATATTTTTGAGAAAATATATACATGCCAACTACTCAAGTTGTTGAAAAGCAAATGCCTAGTACACAAGTCTCACATAAACCTCAATTCAGCCCTGCTTACTAAGTATTCTATGATACACCATCTGCTAGCAAAGATCAGTCTCTTTTTCTTCCTTCAAAGTCTTAAGGTTATTTTATGTTATAAATTCTTTCATATACTTTCTCTAATCCTCTCTGCCAGGCAGTACTATTTATGGTAACAGGCCATCTTTCTAAGAGCTTCAGATACGACATTCCAGTCAAAGCCCTGTCCAATAATGAGTATTTCTAATTTCTAATTCAATGCAACAAGCATTATTGAACTTAATAATCCTTCTGCCACAAAATAAGAATACTCTCAAATACTTCCAATTCAAGAGGGGTCAGGAAAGAAGAAATGTTTATATTTCCACTTACAGAAACAAACAAGAAAAATATTTTAACCAATTGCTGAACCTATCAACAACTCGAAAGAAAGTATGTTTAAATTGGGAAAACAAAGCATAGTAAAAAAAATCAGTAATGTTTTACTCAAAAGTCATAAAATTCTGTTTTTCGAGTTCAGTCTTATGTTCACACTCTCTTCTGCTGAATATGCAGTATTGCTGTGATCCAATCTTTCCGTTTAAATCCTAGAAGTTAACATTTAACATTGTATTGTAATTTCTTGTCCCTGGCATTAAACTGGTCATTTCTTGGTTGCATTTTATTCTCTTATTTCTGTATGTGTCTTTACTTTTCCTGGTTGAGCACTCTTTTCAGAACTTACGGATTTAGAGCATGGCTTCCCTGAACACGCCAGGACACACCTCAGCTTTTAAATGGCTTCTTGTCCAAATATTTTGGGAGTCTAGCTTTCGCATCTACTCTTACCACCACTCCTTAAGTTGTTTGGTCCAGAGACAACTGCTGTAACCAGATATTTATGTATCATGGACTTAAGAAATCTTCTAGGCTAAATTTTGTTTATTTTAATTTTTATAAGAAATTAAAACTCTCCAAAAAGATTAAGATCATTTGTCCATGGGGTCCAGTAGGTGGCATAGTGGTTAAAGCACTGGATTCCCACATGGCCAACTGTATTTTGAGTCCCAGACCTGATGGCTTGAAAATCAAGCCAGGGTTGTGTGAGTGCATACCCAAAATCCTGAGAGGAGAATGGAGAAGAGATTATGGCATGGCTGTACCCTGTGGGGTGTAAAAGACTTTGAGATGTTACATGAACTTTGAGAATTAATATGGTAATCTGAATTCCAGGCCATTCACACTTCTAATATTAGTTAATATACATTATTTTACAGCTGGCAGATCACTAATTAACATACCATTTCTCATTTTTGTTTTTTGTGCTATTACCTTCTTCCTTTTCCCTTATCCGTACTCTCAACCTTGCTTCCTATTTCACTGAGAAAATTGAAGAAAACAGAAGGGAACTACCATAGTTTCTTATTACCATATTTATCATCATGTCATCATTTGTACTTGCCTATTGTACTTTCTGGTCATAGCTATTTTTTCCGTGTGCCTATATAAAGTTTATTCCTCTACTTGTATACTGTACTTTTCTCTTCCTTTCAGGGCCATCACTCCAGCAGTTTCCTTTTCTCTCTCCAGCATTATCAAGTTTTCTCCTCTCTTTAGTCATTCTCAATACTATAAAAAAATATGATATAAGATATTATTTCTCTCAGCTTAAATCTTCTCTTGACCCCTAGGGACATTGATAAATTTCCCTGTTAAATATCACCCATTTCTTTGCTCTCTTTTGAAGCAAAAGTTCTTATTTATCTATTACCATATTGTCCACTTTCTCTCCTCACACTCTTTCTTGGATCCACTCCAATTGCAGTTTTTCCAACTCACTGCACTGAAACTGTCTAGCATTATCATTATTTGGTACTTACCTAAGAGATCTGAAATAGCCTGTCTTTAAAAACATTTTGTATGCTGTAGTGATGTACAGTGAATGAATGTAAATAAATAAATTTTCAAAAAGAACTATATGCAAATATTTATACCAAACTAAAAATAGTCCATATGTACATGAGTTGGTGTATGGATGAGCAAATTATGACACATTCATGGAATAGAATAAAATTTACCTATTACTTAAGAAGGAAGAAATTGCTGATTCATGCAACACGAATGAATTTCAGAAGCATTGAGCTCAAGGAAGGAAGCTACACATATCCTACATCGTATATGGAAATATTTATACCAAACTAAAAATAGTCCATATGTACATGAGTTGGTGTATGGATGAGCAAATTATGACACATTCATGGAATAGAATAAAATTTACCTATTACTTAAGAAGGAAGAAATTGCTGATTCATGCAACACGAATGAATTTCAGAAGCATTGAGCTCAAGGAAGGAAGCTACACATATCCTACATCGTGCATAATTCCATTTATATAATATTTGGAAAAGACAAAACCATGAGAGCAAAAATTGTATTGGTGATTACCTGAAGGAAGGGGATTGACTACTAAGAGGCAAAGGGAATTTTTTGAGATGATAGAAATATTCAGTATTTTGATTGGATGGTAGCTGTAGAACTGTATACATCTGGTAAAATTCCAGTAGAATTATAAAGCTAAATCAAGTGTGATTTTTTTACTGTATGTAGCTTATACCTTAGTATGCCTAATTTTTTTTAAGGGATTTTTGCCTTAGGGAGTGTGCACTCACCAAAGAGATGGAGACAGAGACAGTCAGAGGGAAAGTGAGAAATCACCCCCGTTCCCTCAGAGGGATGGCCACACCTCAATCCCTTTTCCTCAACTCTCCTCCTAGGATTTTGGTCATGCATACACACCTGACATGATTTTCAAGCCGCAGGGTCCAGGACTTGAACCAAGGTCAGCCATGCGGGAGTCCAGCAACAAAACCTTTATGTCATCTGATAGCCCCAGTAAACCTCATTTTAAGAAAAAGATGCTAAAGAGACAGAACAAATAAACGCAATATTTAATACTTAAGATCACAAATCAAAATTAATTTTTAGCTTAGAAAATTTGAATATACCTTAGGTCACAGTATCATGTCAATATTAACTCTATCATTATATTGCGGTAGAAGAATGTATGTGAACGTCCTTTTTCTTAAGAGCCTTATGTTAAACTAGTAAGGGGTGAAGTATTGTGATAATAGCAGTTGGTTCTCAGATGATCCAGTAAAACCATATATACACACACATGCATTTGAATGTTGGGACAGAGAGTAAATACAGCAAAATGTTAAGTAGTATATAGGTCTCTATTGTACTAATTTTGCAAATTTTCTGTAGATCTGAAATTTTTCAGGACCATATTATTGAGGAAAATAATACATCATCTTGCTTCATATTACCTGCTCCATACTCCCATCTGTCACCTAAGTTACTATAATAACCTCCCAACAAATTTTGCTTTAGTTTGCTTACCCATCATTTTTTATTTCTGAGAAAGCAGCCAGCAGATCCTGTTAAAATGTCATGTCTACCACATCTTTGTTCAGAACCCTGCAGTAGCTCACATATTTTATTTGGAGTAAAAGATAAATTTTTTAAATATCCTACAAGAATTTTTTTTTGAGAGAGATTTTTTGCTATAGGGAACATGTGCTCTCCAGAGATACAGAGAGACAGGAAGTGAGAAATCAACCTGTGGGGGGATGGCTATGCCACATTCCCTTGTCTCCTCTTACGATCTTGAGCATGCACATACACAAGCCCGGTGTGAATTTGAAGCTTCTGGGTTCGGGACTTGAACTGTTGACTATGTGGAAGTCCAACAATGTAACCATTATGCCATCTTCTGGTCCCTCTACAAGAATTTTTAATACTGGCCATTCTGTTTTCTCTCCGACTGAACTACTACTATT